GCGGTGGTCCTCGGGCAGAGGCGGAGAGGTGGCATGCAGGGATCGTCAAGGGGGAGTGATGCAGGATGAAAGGTGCTGAAATGCTTTTTTTCCACTCTGTTCTCCCTGCTCACAGACAGGCAGACAAAAGGTAAGTCTTCGCGGGTGCTGCCGCGCGGGTGCCCTCCCCGAGGCAGCGATGCCGAGCGGTCGGAGGCTTGCCTGGTCTTCCCTGTGCAAAGCCCCTTTAGCATCTCTCGTTAGGTGGAAACGCAGCTGCCCCCGTGAGCAGTTTTCCTCTGCAGTCAGAGGGAGCCATTTCTGTCACTCGGATTTAGTGGCGAGTCAGATGTCACCAGCATGTGCCAGCGCGGGGGGGCGTGGGGACCAAGGCCTTCACGCTGAGGGGAAAGTGTGGTTCTTTGGAGATGCCACAACGTGGCAGGTTCAGGGGGATTTGGCTGTGGCTGGTGGTCTGAGGAGGGAAAGCGCACAGCCACGTGCCCGTCCAGTTCACTCCCATTTGCTTTTGGGCTCTTTCAAGGCTTTAGAAGATGAAACGAGCTGAGCTGGAATAAAATTGGTGGGTGGGCGATAGAGGGAGGTGGCCGCCCGTCAGGTGGTGAATGGCCTCTGCTCTCAGGACATCTCGGGGCCGATTTAAATGCTGCTTTGGACACATGACAGCTTGGCACAAGCCAGACCCACGTTTTCATCCCTTACACGGTTCAAGACGTGTGTGGCGGTGTACGGGTGTTGGCCGAGCAGCTCCGACCTCTGCTTTGCTCTCTTTCTCTAACCAGAGCCACACACTGTTGGCTACAGCCAGTCCAGCCTGATCCACCTCGTGGGACCATCGGACTGCACGCTGCTGGGCTTCGTGCATGGAGGTGAGTCCGTGCCGCCGGGCGGCTTTGCCGTGGAGCAGAAGCGTGGTTGGAGAGCAACACATGCGTCTCTGTGGTTTTGGGAGGTGGGTTTCAGGGATCCCCTCTGCCTCCCCGGCCCCAGGTGTCACCATGAAGCTCATGGACGAGGTCGCGCCCCCCCGCCACTGCAAGACCAACATCGTCACCGCCTCGGTGGATGCCATCAACTTCCACGAGAAGATCAAAAAAGGTGACGGGGGTGGCGGGCGCTTTGCTCTCCCACAGTGCCACGTCTCAGCTCCCTTGGGCGTGTGTTGGCAGAGAAATCTAGTCCATTAGAGTTGTCCTGTGCCAAGGAGTGTGGCTTAAGTGTAAAACAAGCAGGACTCCTTGCTCCCTTCCTCGGAGCAGAAAGAGGGGCTGCCTGCTTAACCGGCCCCCCTCTGCTTCACAGGCAACGTTATTACCATCTCGGGCCGCATGACCTTCACGAGCAATAAATCCATGGAAATTGAAGTCTTTGTGGATGCTGACCCGTTTGTGGACGAGCCCCGGGAGCGGTACCGTGCTGTCAGCGCCTTCTTCACCTACGTCTCCCTGAGCAAGGAGGGGAAGCCCCTGCCTGTCCCGCAGCTGCTGGTAAGAGCTCTCCCCACTGTGCTGCCAGCCAGCCAGGGCAACCCCTCTCCTGCTCCTCCTGGGGCAGACCCCGACTGGCTTTTCTGTCCAACAAACCCGTTTCATTATTCAGCATATGAGCATGAAGAAGCCTTTCCAGAGCAGGCTTCAGGGTTGTTTTTTTTAAGTTTCTTCTCTGTGCTCTTCTACGTTTCCCAATATTTTGTCAGCTAATTACACACTAGCTGTCAAAACACGTATTGAACGGAGCACGGGTTTTTCTTTACATTTTCTGCACGGAGAGGCGCACTTCCCTTCCCTCCCATGCCTGCGAGGTGCAGCGTGGGAGAGCCACGCTACCCCGAGGTAGCTAACGCCGGTGGCTTCGCTTTCTTTCTGTCGCCGGCAGACGGAGACGGAGGATGAGAAGCGGCGCTTCGAGGAAGGCAAGGGCAGGTACCTCCAGACGAAAGCCAAGCGGCAGGCGCAGATGCAGCAGGCTGCCCAGCAGTGACCGCGCCACGCGCTCTCGCAGCCTTCGCTCGCCAAAACGTCCGGGTTCCCGTTAGTCTCGTGTCCGCGCCGGGCCTCGCGTCTTTGCCCACCCCAGCCTGCCGCCGGTGCTGCCAGTTGGGCGCCCCAGACCTTGTGCTTTAGGTGGCTTAAGCGCTCTGGGAGCCTTCCCGGTCGCTCACCATTCGCCTCTGGAGCCGTAAGCGAAGCTCCCGCTGGAGCGGGGCAGAGGAGGGGGGCGGACCCAGGGGGGGC